CATGATCCTCATATCTCAGCCTCCTGCGTAGCTAGGATGACAGGCATGAGCTACTGGGACCTGGCTTTGGCTTGTAGAGGTTTGGAGGGAGGTGCCTCCAAACCTCTGCATGGACACATGTGCAGACCTTAGCAAGAAACTCCAGGCTGGAGCTGCAAACCGGGGTTTTTTGGTGCTAAGCACTTGGTGTGGAGTTTTGCCCTAGACTTCTCTTCTGACTCTGAAGGACAAGATGACCACAGAGGAGAGCTCCCAGGATATTTTGAGGCTCCAGTTCAAGGCGATGCAGGAGCTACAGCATCGCAGGCTACAGAAGCAGATGGAGAAAAAGAAGGAAAAGGAGATGAGCCATCAAAGCCCAGCAGAGGATCCAAAAGAGACCTTGGAGATCCCAGATGGCCTCAGCTTCCTCCAAACAGACGAGCAGAATCTCAAGAGCATCTTTGAACAGAGGTAAAAAAAACAGGCCCAACAGGGGCTGGGAAGGTGGCTTAGTGGTAGAGCGCTTGCATGAAGCCCTGGTTCGATTCCTCAGTGCCATAAATGCAGAAAAAGCCAGAAGTGGTGCTGTGGCTCAAGTGCTAGGGCACTAGCCTTGAGCAAAAGAAACTCAGGGATGGTGCTGAGACCCTGAGTTCAAATCCCTGACCAGCAAGAAAAAAAAAGTGGACTTTAAAAAATGTAATGTAGGGCTGGGAAGGTGGCTCAGTGGTAGAGCGCTTGCCTTGCATGCATGAGGCCCTGGGTTCGATTCCTCAGCACCACATAAGCAAAAAGAAAAAAAGCCAGAAGTGGCGCCGTGGCTCAAGTGGTAGAGCGCTAGCCTTGAGCTGAAGAGCTGAGGGACAGCGCCCAGGCCCAGAGTTCAGACCCCACCACCGGACCCCCCAAAAAAAGAAATGTAATATAGTTTTATTGGTATTATGACAGTGTTGTACAAAGAGATTACCATTTTGTAAGTCAGGTAAATGAGTACATTTGGGGGTTTTGTTTTTGTTTTTTACTATGCTGTCTCTTCATGTGCTTTCCCTCAAAAGTGATTTTTTTTTGGTCAGTCCTGGGGCTTGAACTTAGGGCCTGCATCTCTTTGTGCTCAAGGCTAGCGCTCTACCATCTGAGCCACAGCGCCACTTCTGGCTCTTTTAAGTAGTTTATTGGCGATAGGAGTCTCCCAGACTTTTCTGCCCAGGCTGGCTTCGAACCGCTATGCCCTAGATCTTGGCCTCCCGAGTAGCTGGGATGACAGGCGTGAGCTACCAGCTTGCCTGCCCCAGTTGGGAAATGTCATAGCTCTCTCAAAGTCAGCTAATAAACAGTGTTGCTCGGATCGTCTTTCCCCTCTGACTGCTGGGCAGAAATCTGGTTAGCTTAGCTCACACTAGTTCTACAGTGAAGGATTTTTTATTATTACATTTCCACAAGGGCTAACCACGCGCCGCGATCTCCCCCTAGTGGCCAGCCTGGGCATCGCAAACCAAACCTAGGCCCGGAGGCCTGGGACACCGCCCCCCCTCCCCCAGACACACACAATCCCAGTGATGCATTGGGACCCTTTGCTTGCGCAGGGTGTTGGAAGATGAGATCCAGCAGCTGCGGGAGGAGCTCAGGGAGGCGGTGGACGAGAACGGACGACTGTACAAGCTGCTGAAGGAGAGGGACTTTGAGATTCAGCACCTCAAAAAGAAAATTGAAGAGGACAGATTGGCCCTCACAGGTAGCTCCGCCATGATGTTTCCAAATCCCCCCACCGACACCCCTCCCCAAGCCCAAATGGCTTGTCCGCAGCAGCCACGTTGAGACCAGAAAGCAAGGATCTAAGAGACAGAGCAAGGGGTCAGCTGTGTTCACCTCTGTCCAGCCCAGTTTTATTTATTTATTTTGTTTATTGTGAGTCATGGGACTCGAACTCTGGTCCTGGGCACTGTCCCTCAGCTCTTCAGCTCAAGGCAAGCGCTCTACCACTTGAGCCACAGTACTACTTCTGGTTTTCTAGTGGTTCATAGGAGAGAAAAGTCTCACGGCTTTTCCTGCCCAGGCTGGCTTTGAACCTAGATCCTCAGAAATCAGCCTCCTGAGGAGTTAGGATGACAGGCGGGAGCCATCGGCACTAGGTTTGAGATTCCTGTCTCCAATGAACAACTGAAAAACAAAAACAAAAACAAAACTTGAGCTGTGGCTCAAGTGGTAGAGTGCTAGCCTTGAGCAAAAAAAGCCTTGAGTTCAAGCCCCAGGATCAGCGCGCGCACACACACACACACACACACACACGTGGTAGAAACACACTTAAATATTTGCTAGATGAGCGTGTGCATTTACATTGGGATCTATTTTGTCTCCCCACCAAAAATATAAAAAAAAATCTGGAATAAACAATCAGGGCATCTTAGCAGCACTGGATTTAGTTCAAACATGGGGGGGCGTAGTGAGGCCTGGCCAGGGGGACCCCACCTCTCTTCCCCTGTCCCCCTGCCTGGCTGCTTTCTGTGAGTTACCAGCTGGCCAGAAGAGCATGAGCTCAGCTGCACCAGCGTCCGCCAGTGCTCACTCCCGGGCAAAGCTCAAAGTCAAGCAGGCCTAGAAAGTTCCAAGGATGACCGGGTACTGGTGGCCCACACCTGTCATCCTCGCTACTCAGGAGGCTGAGATCTGAGGATCGTGGTTCCAAGCCAGGCCAGGCAGAAAATTCCGTGTGAGACTCTTACGTCCAGTGAACCACTCAAAACCAGAGGTGGCGCTGTGGCTCAAGTGGTAGAGCGCTTGCTTTGAGCACCAAGAGACACTGGGCCAGAATCCAGGCCCTGAGTTCAATCCTCAAGACCAGCAATAATAATAATAATAATATAGATCTGTAGACCTGGAGTTGATGAGCAGGCTGGATTTCCTTATTGGCCTCACCACCCCTCTGGTTGTAGGGACTTCCAGTATGGCTGGAGATGTGGTTGCCACCAAAATCATTGAGCTGTCCAAAAAGAACCGGGTGCTGATGGCGGAGTCTGAGGGAGCGAAGACCAGGGTGAAGCAGCTGAGCGGCCGCATCCAGGAGCTGGAGCGGGAGGTGAGGGCCTGCCGCCTCTTCCCAAGGGGCCCTGGGAGTTTGAAGCCAGCCTGGGCAGGAATATCCATGTGACTCTCATCGCCAATGAACCAGCAAAAGGCTATTAGTGGAAGTGTGGCTCAGGTGGCAAAGCGCCAGCCTTGAGGAAAAAAGCCAAGCAAGAGTATATAAGGCCCAGCCAGGCGCTGGTGGCTCCCGCCTGTCATCCTAGCTACTCAGGAGGCTGAGATCTGAGGAACGCAGTTCAAAGCCAGCCCGGGCAGGAAAGGCCATGAGATTCTTATCTCCAATAAACCACCAGAAAACCGGAAGTGGCACTGTGGCTCAAGTGGTAGAGTGCTAGCCTTGAGCTGAAGAGCTGAGGGACAGCGCCCAGGCCCAGAGTTCAAGCCCCATGACCAATCAAAAAAAAAAAAAAAAAAAAAGAAAGAGGAAAGAGAAGAAAGAAGAAGGAGGAAGGAAGGAAGGAAGGAAGGGAGGGAGGGAGGAAGGAAGGAAGGGAGGGAGGGAGGAAGCGAGGGAGGGAGGGAGGAAGGAAGGAAGGAAGGGAAGGAGGGAGGGAGAGAAAAAGGGAAGAGAAGAAAGAAATAGAGAAAGAGAAGGAAGGAGGGAGGGAGGGAGAAAGGGAAGAGGAGGGAAAGGGAAGAGAAGAAGAAAGGAAGAAAGAGAAAAAGATGGAGGAGGAAGGAAGGAAGGAGTCATTACAGCCTTAGTTTCCCTGCAGCAGGCTTAGCACCTCCACGACCTCAAGTACATCCTTCCCTGTGTTTCTAGAACTCTCAGGGGGTAGGGGCTGGGGTGGGGGGTAGGGACAAAGTGCAGCTCGGTGCATGGCTATTTCTCAAGCTATCAGCACCTCGCGGGGTCCTTAGTGTTAGCATGAGGTTGGGGAATGGAGACAGACAATGGATGCGACCCTCTCCCAGCCCCAGCAAATTCTCCCATGAACGACCCCAAGGCAAGTGAAAAGTTGGGGGTAAGGGGCTGGGGTTTGGGGGGGCGCTGGGCCCTTGCCTAACACCATGAAACATGAAATGCCACGTTTGCTTTTCCAGCTGCTAGCAGCCCGGGCCCAGCTGCCAACCAAGGAGACAAGCGACGAAGATGCCAAGCTATTGAAGGCCCACGTATGCATTCTCTTTTGTTCTGGAACCTCTGGGAGAGAAAGCACCTAGAGATTCCCCCCCCCAGGCCTCCTGCAGCTAGAGCCCCTTTGGGGCCCCCTGTACCCCGCTTTCCTGCCTGGGCTGGCTTTGAACTGCGATCCTCAGATCTCAGCCTCCTGAGTAGCTAGGATGACAGGCGGGAGCCACCGGCGCCCGGCTTAGGATTTAAGTCCTATGGTACAGGGACTCAAAGCAGGCCCTGGAGAAGAAAGACTAGAAGGGCCTTCCAGGAAGAGTGGTGCAGAGAAAGCTCTAGACCTTTCTGTGGCTGTAGACTGAATGACTATAGCCTAGATCCCAGGAGGGAAAAGGAACTTGAACCCCTAAAAAGTACAGGCAGAATCCAGTGACTCACGCCTATCATCCCAGCTACTCAGGAGGCTGAGAGCCGGAGGATGGCGGTTCCAAGCCAGCCCGGGCAAGGAAAAGCCATGAGACCACTTCTCTCCAACAAACCACCAGAAAACCGGAAGTGGCGCCATATATATGGCTCAAAAGTGGTACAGCGCTTGCCTAGAGCTGAAGAGCTCAGGGACAGCGCCCAGACCCTGAATTCAAGCCCCAGGACTGGCAAAAAGAAAAAGAGAAATGCTATTTTCTTTGGCACACCATGCAGGGCACAGGCCCAGCTACGCCCAGATGCCTGGCGCCCAAGGCCCTTTTCTGATCCCAAGCCTCTTAGGCCAAATTCCAGAGCATGCTGCATCTCTTCCCCTGCTCTCCGAGGCTGGCATTTTCTCAGGCCTGAGATCTGAGCTCCCCCACAGACTGCATTTCTGGAATTTTCCCCACTCTTCTCCATCTCCCCCACCCTTCCCCAAAGAAAACAGCCCACCATAGAAGCCTCTGGAATTTCACTCTGAGCAGCAGCAAGAGAGCTGCAAAGTAGAACAGGCTGAGTCAGCTTACCCACCACCCCCACCCCTTCAGTCTGGTACTACAGAAGTACCTACCTTACTGGAGCCATACTCTTGATATGAGGTATCTCCTCACCCTCAGCCGTACTCCGAGATTGTTAGTCTAGGCCCATCCATCCATGCCGGACAAAGGAAAAGGGAAGGAGAAGCAGCCACAGGAAAAAAAATAATACACAAATAAAAGCATGCCTGTGTGTGTGTGTGTGTGTGTGTGTGATCATGGGACTTGAACTCAGGGCCTGGGGCGCTGTCCCCCAGCCTCTTTGTACACAAGGCGAGCGCTCTACCACGTTAAGCCACAGCGCCACTTCTGGATTTTCTGATGGTTCATTGGAGAGAAGAGTCTCACGGGGAACTTTTCCTGCCCAGGCTGGCCTCAAACCACGATCCTCCAGATCTCAGCCTTGCGAGTAGCTAGGATGACAGGCAGTGAGCCAGCGGCGCCCCGGCTCCACGAGACTCTTTTAATCTCCAATGAACCACCCCCTCAAAAAAAAAAAGCTGGAAACAGGGCTGTGGTTCAAGTGGTAGAGCACCAACCAGCCTTGGATGCAAACGAAACAAAGCTCAGGGACAGCAGGCTGAGGCCTTGAGTTCAAGTCCCAGGACGGGTACGGATTCGTTCCATGTTCTCCATGTCATGGCCTGGGTTGGCGACGGGACAGGAGAGGGTATAATGATCACTACTGTCAAGGCAGCCGGTGACCACACTTCCTGTCCTGCCTCTCCCTCCCCCCCTCCCCTTCTCCCCCCCCCCCCCCCCCGTAGCCACAGCTAGAGACGCCAGAGGTCAAGGCACTGCAGGAAAAGCTGGCTGCCACCAACCTGAAGATGAGCGACCTGCGGAACCAGATCCAGTCCATGAGGCAGGAGCTGCGGATGACCCAGAAGGTTCTTTATCAAGGCAGGGCTTGGGATTTCTTGTCTGGCTGCCTCCAATCCCACACCCCCCCACCCCCCATCCCCAACTCTGGGTTCCAAGCCCATCATCCCAGCTACTCAGGAGGCTGAGAGCCAGAGGATCTTGGTTCTCAAGCCAGCCCCGCCCCCGATTAAGTGGGGTGGAGGGGGCCAGAAAAGAACAATGAGACTCTGATCACCCATGAACCACCAAGAAACCGGAAAGTGGTGCTGGGGTTCAAGAGCGCTAGCCTTGAGTGAAAGAAGCTCAGGGACAGATCCCAGGCCATGGGTTCAAGCCCCGGGACCTACACCCAAAACAACAACAAAAAGACTCCTTCCAAAGGAAAAAAAAAATGCTCAGACTTGGGGCACAGGCCCAACAGGGCCCAGCTGCGCGGTGGCTGATTTGTACAGACACAGTGGATCCTCTGGCATCCACCTCCTCTGCTAGAACCACTCAGATGCACCAAGAGTTCCAGAACAATGTTCTACTGTGGACAGAAGGGCCAGAGACTTAGCATGCTAGCTGGGAATCCAAGCTCGGGCTTCCACGGCGCCCAGGGGACAAAGCTGGAATGCACTGCTGTTGGGTTTTCTTTTGTCAGTCGTGGGGTTTGAACTCAGGGCCTGGGCACTGTCCCTGAGCTGCTTTTTGCTCAAGGCGGGTGCTCTACCACCTGAGCCACAGCCCCACTTCTGGTTTTCTGGTGGTTCCATGGAAGATAAGTGTCTCACGGACCAGGCTGAAAGCAGCAGCAGACGTTGGAACCTTGCACGACCCAAGCAAGGCCCAACACATCAGGAGCAAAGGGGTCCCAGCTGGATACCACCGGTCACACCTGCTCTCCCAGCTTCGGAGGCTGCAGTCGGAGGATTGTGATTGGAGGCCGGCGCAGGCAGACACCATCCGAGAGACTGCTCTTGAACAAACTGCCGGAACAAAAACAAAATTTAGAAGTGGAGCGTTGGCTCCAGCAGTAGAGCACCAGCACTGAGCAAAAAGAAAGGCAAAAGTGCGAGACCCTTGCATTTAAGCCTCAGTACCAACACCGAAAAGAGAGAGAGGAGAGGAGGGAGGGAGGGAAGATGGGCGGGCAGGCGAGGGGCCCGGGCTGGGCCCTGCTGGCCACTCCTTGGATACTCTAAATATCACTTAGGAGATGGCGGAGGTGACGGTCTCCTCTTTTCCCAAGGGAGAGCTGGCCTGGGAAAGCGTTGGAGGGGGAGGGGAAGGGGGCGTGAAGGCTGGGGCCTTCCAGGAGCCCCGCACCCAGCACTGACTCTTGGATGA